ACATCGCTAGGGCAATGGTTTGATTTCACAAATGTGTTGAGTCAACTGAGAACTTATTACTGGAAATGAATGAAAATAGTGTTTGCCCTCCAGGACTCCCCATCGAGTCACGTGCTCCCTAAGTTTTAAGGTCTTGAGAAGAAGCTAAGTTGGGGAAAACAAACAAACCAAAGACTACAGTGTATGGATCCCACCTTGTTTTATTGGAAATTTGGGGACATAAGTGAATGTATTTATTTATGTTTTCTAAGCAAAAGAAGTAACTTTAGCTTTCTTTCTTTTTAAAAGAAAAGGTTTTTTCAGTTGGGTGTAGCTCAGCGGTTGAGCATCGACCCGGGAACCAGGAGGTCACCGGTTTGATGCCCGGGTTGTGGGCTAGATCCCCAGTGTGGGTGTGCAGGAGGTAGCCCATCAATGATTCTGTCATCATTGATGTTTCTATCTCTCGCTCCCTCTCCCTTCCTCCCTGAAATCAATTAATGAAAATATTCTTTAAAAAAGCAAAGAGCCCTAACCAGTTTGGCTCAGTGGATAGAGCTTTGGCCTGCGGACTGAAGGGTCCCAGGTTCGATTCCGGTCAAGGGCATGTTCCTTGGTTGCGGGCACATCCCCAGTAGGGAGTGTGCAGGAGGCAGCTGATTGATGTTTCTCTCTCATCGATGTTTCTAACTCTCCCTCTCCCTTCCTCTCTGTGAAAAAAATCAATTATATATATATATATATATATATATATATATATATATATATATATAAAAGAAAGAGTTTATTAGGCCATTGCTAGCAAAAAGAAAAAGGAGGAGGAGGAGGAGAAGGAGGAGGAGGAGGAGGAGGAGGAGGAGGAGGAGGAGGAGGAGGCTGTATTGGGGTACAGAGTCAAAAACCATCAGCAGCATGGTTAGGTAGTAAAGACAACATGTCCCAAATCTAGCTTTTCTTGATGATTCATAATTATGAACTGTCAGTCCTGTCCTAACCCTTCCAAAAAAATTCAGTTTAACCTTGAAAATAAATTGTTTACAGAATGAATCCAGATCATGACCTATTACTCATGCCTTGAATATGGGCAATGCTTAAAGATAATGTTTTATATCTGCATGACTTTCATGCAGATATAATATGAACATATGTCAAAAACTTTATTTAACTCATTAATTGGTTATCATCAGGGAACCAGTAAGATGTTACTTACTAATTCACAGGAGAATTCAAAGAAGTATACACACTACGTAGGCAGATAAGAAATGCTAAAATGAATTTATAAATAGAGGCAAATGTATCTATTCCAGGGCAATAATCAATTGTATTCCACAACTAATTTGCATTTCTATGGACAAGAATAATTTGCATTAATATTGGTTTTCTACAACTTACAGAGTTAGTTGTGAAATAGGTCACAGACAACAAAAGGTAACATGAAAGGGTACTCTAGATATTACGACACCCATAAATTAAACAAAATGATATCAGAAGGACTAGACCCAGATCTTTGTGAGATGCCAGATGCTCCAGTGCCTGATGCCAAAGGTGAAAAAATACAGAAGGAAGTTCACATAGTGAATCTTCTTTTAGTGTCTAAGCTTAGTTTTTTTTTTAATATATTTTATTGATTTTTTACAGAGAGGAAGGGAGAGAGATAGAGAGTTAGAAACATTGATCAGCTGCCTCCTGCACATCTCCTACTGGGGATGTGCCCGCAACCCAGGTACATGCCCTTGACCAGAATCGAACCTGGGACCTTTCAGTCCGAAGGCCGACGCTCTATCCACTGAGCCAAACAGGTTTCGGCAAAGCTTAGTTTGGATAACAATCACATATAGGCATGTGTAGGTGTGCTTTACGTTCTATCAGAAAGAGAGCCTGAACTTGAACTCTTAGTCAATAAAAGCATCAGCCCAGCCAGCTGGCGTGGCTCAGTGGTTGAGCATTGACCTATGAACCAGAAGGTTCAGTTCCCAGTCAGGGCACATGTCTGGGTCGCAGGCTCATTCCCCTGTGTGGGGCAGTCGATCAATGAATCGCTCTCACCATTGATGTTTCTATCTCTCTCTCTCTCCCTTTCTCTCTGAAATTAATGAAAATTTTAAAATAAAGCATCAAATGGCCAAATATCCACCACCAACCTTCCTCTGTGTTAAAATAATAATAATAGCCCCGACCGGTTTTCTCAATAGTTAGAGACCTAAGGGCTTTTGGACCTAAGAGTTGCAGGTTTGATTCCTAATGGTGTACCTTGGTTGCAGGTTCCATCTCCTGTGCCCCAACTGGTATCGTGTGGGGGAGGAAACCAATCAAAGTGTCTCTCTCACATCAATGCTTCTCTCTCTCCCCCTCCTCCTCCCTCCATTCCATTCCATTCTCTCTCTCTCTTTCTCTTTATCTCTCTTTAAAAAAAAAAAAATCAATGGAAAAAATATCCTCAGGTGAGGATTAAAAAATTTTGAGAACAACAATAAAGCATTTATAACCTGCCCCCCCCCAAATTTTTTTCACTTATTCAATGATCAGAGATTTTTACAAATTGTTTTAATTACTTTTCATAAGGATGCAGTGAGTTAAGCTTCTGTATCCTGCTTGCTGCTGGCCGTGATATAGTAGGCAGATGGACAGGCATGAGCAGCGTAGGAACCATAGGCTGATACTGTGGGAATGAAATCTTTCCTCCCAGGGGTCTAACAGCCGCCCTACAGCGTCACATTGATTTGAATGTGCATCGAGTGACACCTTGTGGCAACAAGAGCAATTGCAGAGACAGCCACTGTCCAGACCAGAGTTTAAGTGGCTGAGTGTCCACAGGGCTGCTGTGTGTGTTACATAAACTCCAGGGTCCTGGGCAGTCTAGGAGAAGGGGGAGGTCCACAAAGGAGGTTAATGGCTAATCCAGTAGAGGCTAGAGGTAGTTTTAGTTTCCTTTATTTTGGAAAATAATTTAGCCCTAGCCAGTTTGGCTCAGTGGATAGAGCATCGGCCTGCAGACTGAAGGGTCCCAGGTTCGATTCTGGTCAAGGGCACATACCTGGGTTGTGGTCTCTATCCCCTGTAGGGGGCATGCAGGAGGCAGCCAATCAATTATCCTCTCTCATCATTGATGTTTCTGTCTCTCTCTCCCTCTCCCTTCCTCTCTGAAATCAATAAAAATACATTTTTTTAAAAAAGAAAATAATTTAAAGGCATTCTGATGTTGGGGGACTGTTTATATTGGCTCCACTCCCTGGTTACCATAAGGATCTAATGAAATCATCCCAGAGTAGCAGAGGTATGGATGAGTGATGTAATATTGAAAAGATATTGTA